CTTCCCAGAAGAATTAAAAATATCATACCACAGTGATATATGTGTGCTCCTGTTTATAGCAAAACAATTTGTAATAATTAGATCTTGGAGACAACCCAATGCCCATCGACCGAGGAACAGATTTAAAAAAAGATGTGGTCTTTTTATACAAAGGAGTACTACTCAGCCGTAAAGCAGGATAAACTGGAGACTTCTCCAGGTAAATGTATGCAACTTGAGACCACACCCATAAGTAAGATAAACCAGACTCACATGTGCAAACATCGTGTTACCTCCCTAGTGTGAGAAGCTGAAAGAGTAAATAAGATCCAAAATGTACCATAGATATGTGAAATGGGAAGAAATTGTTCAAAAGGAAGGAGAATTGGGGATGGGGAAAGGAGAAAAGGAGGAAGGGAAAAGGGGAAAAATATATATGCATACAAGATAGTTAAAATAGTTATACTACTAATTTCATTATACTGTGAGGTCGTTGAAAAGAAGTTTGTGCTGATATTGTTTAGACAGTTAAATGCCTATAACATACTCTGAGTAACTAATTTAAAGATAACAACATGCACTACATTAACCATTATTACCCTCCTATTACCTTGTTTTGAAATTTTGTTGTATTTTTTTCTCTTCAAGCTTAAAAAAAAAAAAAAAAAGAAATAAACTGGGGGGATAGAGATGTGTCTGAGTGGTAGAACGTTTGCCAGGTATGTAGGAGGTCGTAGGTCCAATCCCCAGCCCTGCAAAAGAAAACAAAAAAGCCAGATGTGAAAGCCAGAGGCTTCTTTGATTGCATGCAAAAAAAAGCTCTTATCTCTTAGCATGGAAGGGCAGAGAAAGCTAAGACCAAACCCAATATCCAGCAGTCTAAGTAGCTAGGTATCAAAGAAGGTTAAACACCCAACAAAGGCAGATCTGTTATGGCGAGGTCAGGGCCCTGGGTAAGAACCCTGAGACACTAGCATATGGACTGGACACGTAAGTGATAACTCCAAATAAGTTACTCCCAAGACTGCTTTGAACCTTTTGAGCCTGCAGAAGTGGCCCATCCTCCCAGTGCTCCCTAGCAAGAGCTAGCATTCCCATTTGCTGGAGCGCAATTATTGTAGTCAGGGTCTGCCAGGGAAAGAATTTAATACAGGGCACATAATTTATAGGATTATTTTAGACTAGCCACCCAAAGAGTCAAATACAAAAGAGTGCAGGAAATCTGTCCACACACTAAAGACTCAAAGAATCCACCTGACAACCTGGATCCCATGGCAATGTCCTTCCTGAGTCCAGCTGAAGACCTAGAGCCCATAAAAATGCCTCCATAGCTGGGCGTGGTGGTGCATGCCTGTAATCCCAGCACTCGGGAGGCTGAAGCAGGAGGATCATTATGAGTTCGAGACTAGCCTAGGCTACAAAGTGAGCTCAAGGCCAGCCTGAACTGCATAGCGAGACCCTGTCTCAAAAAGACAAAAAGAAAAAACAAACAAACAAGAAAAAAACCAATGCCTCCATCAGTCCAACTGGAAGCCAAGAGCCACGACAATGACTCACACAGGCCTGTTTCACGGATCTGCGCTGGGAAGGCCCCAAGGTCAGTGGTGGAAGCTAGAAAGTCTGTACCAGTGGAATGAAGGATCTGTGCCAGCAGGCTGAGGGATCTGAACTGGAGCCAGCAAGCGATGCTCAAAGTAAGGAGCAGAGCTCCCCTGAAAAGTACCACAGCCATCCTCAGTGACAACGAGATCCAGTGTTCTTCTGACGATAACAGCGAGTTCGTATCAGGAAAGCCAGAGCAACAAGCTGCTCCGGGAGATTGAATGGCACACCATCTGGGCAAGCGTTCTATCACTGAACGCCTATACGTGTCTTGTGATGCACAGGTTCATGTATTTCTGTTGGGCATACCCCTCGGGTGAAATTGCCAAGTTACAGTTCTAGAGTAGGTTCAATTCTGGTAGATAACATCAAACAGCTTTCTGACATGGTTATACCAATTTAAGGTACCGTCCTGCTATACCAGAGAGATTTCATTGCTCCACGTCCTCAGCACTACTTAGTATCTACCTCAAAAATGTTTGTCTTGCTGGGCGTGTGGTGAAATCCCTTTATGATTTTGATTTGTATTTCTCTGATTACTAGGGAGGTTGAGCACTTTTAAATGTTTATTGACCATTTGGATATTCTTTCTGGTGAAGTGCCTGTTGAAGTCTTTTGCCTAATTTTCCTTTGAGCTGTGTTTTCCTTATTGATCTGTAGTTCTTTATATATTCTAGATATGAGCTCTTTGTTACGTGCTGTGAATATCTCTTCCCATGTGACTTGTATCCTTTCAAGGATAACTTTTGTTTTTGTTTTGTTTTTTGGAACTGGGAATCGAACTCAGGACCTTGCGCTTGCCAGGCAGGTGCTTGTGCCACTGAGCTATATCCCTGGTGCCAAGGATAACTTTCAAAACAGAAATTCTTTTATCTTTCTTTATGGCAAAGTAGTACTCCACTGTGTGTAAATACATTTTCTTTATCCATTCATTTGTCGATGGGCATGTATGCTATCTCCAAGGTCTAGCTATCATAAATTGTGCTGCTGTAAACGTGGATATATATGTATCCCTGTAATATGATTATTTTTAACTTTTTGAAAAGATACCTCGAAGAGAGGTAGCTAGGTCGAATGAAATTCCTATTTTTAGTTTTCTGAGAATTCCCACATTGATCTCCATACTGGTTGCACCAGTTCACATTCCTAACAATGTAAAAGAGTTCCTTTTCCCCCATATCCTTGCCCGCATTTGTTATTATCAGATTTTTTGACGATGGCCATTCTTTTGGGATAAGATGGAATCTCAGTGTAGTTCTAATTTGCATATCTCTAATGGCCAGCAATGTTGAACATTTTTTCATGTATTTATTGGCGATTTGTACGTCTCCTGAGAAATGTCTGTTCACTTCAGTTGCTTATTTTTCTTTTTTTTCTTCTTTTTTGGTACCAGGAATTGACCTCATGGCCTTGTGCTTGCCAGGCAGGTGCTGTGCTGCTGAGCTATATCCCCGGCCCCTCAGTTGTTTACTTCTTGATTGAGTCTTTTATTTGGGGAAGTCTAATTTCTTTAACTTCTTTGTGTGTTCTAGATGTTAGTCTTCTGTCCAAAGAATAGCTGACAAAAACTGTTTCCCATTTTATAGGTTGTCCCTTCATTCTTCCGGTTGTATCCTTAACTGTGCAGAAGCTTTAGAATTTGATATGATCCCGTGCTCTTCTTGCCTTTAAGATCTGTGATGAGGGGCGGGGGACATCGCTCAGCCGCACAGCACCTGCCTGGCAAGCACAAGGTCATGAGGTCAATTCCCAGTACCAAAAAGAAAAATTGTGAGGAGAAGTCTTTTGTAATTCTGATGGGTTTTCTTTTATAGGTGATTCATTGCTTTTTTGTAGCACCCTTTAAGATTCTGTTGTTGTGTTGGCCTTGTGACATTGTAGTTATTGTGTGGTGTGGAGTTTAGTTTTATTTTGTTTCAGTTTTGTTTTCCTGATCATGACCCCTTGGGGCTCTGTATGCCTCACTTACCTCTGTGTTAAATTCTTTTTCTGTCTGGAAAGTTTTCTGCTATTACTTTCGTAAACAGGTTTGTTTTTTTTCTTTCCCCGGTACTAGGAATTGAACTCATGACCTTGGGCTTGCCAGGCAGGCGCTGTGCCACTGAGCTAAATCCCCTGCCCGCTGTAAACACGTTTTTAATGCCCTTTGTGCTTTTCTGATTTTTCAGTAACCCTAACTACTCTTATGCTAGTCTTTGAAGCATCTAACCACTTTGGGGTCCATTTTTCATGTTCTCCTGTTTTTTTGTTTTTTGAACCAGGAATCAAACTCAGGGCTCGAGCTTGCCAGGTAAGTGCCGTGCCACTGAGCCATATCCCCGGCCCTCTCTTGTTGTTTTCAAGGTGTCTCTCATTCGTTGGTCATTGACCACAGCCCTGTCCTCTAGATCTGACACTGTGCCTTCACGCTAGTTGCTTCTGCTGCCCAGGGTCTCAGGGGTATTTTTAATCTGGCTTTCTGTTTGGAATTTTTTTATGAACCTCACATGCTTTTCTGTACTGGGCATTCATGTTTTGCATCTTTTTCTTTAGCTCTACTTCATTTTCATAAGTGTCTTTTTAAGGCTCGCTGATCACATGTTTTGTTTGGGTCATTATCTGATTAGCTGTATCTTCCTTAAATTTGTCAAGCACGTGACTGAACTTTTTTACCTCACTGATACCCTTTCAGACATTTCTCTTGTGTGGCTTACGACTTCCTCCTTGTTGATGCCCCCTGCGCTGGTTTGGGGGCATTTTCTTGCCTTGTCTTTCCGTGTTTCTGTGTTTTCATTTGGGGTATGTATATATGTGTGTGTGCACACATACACACACACGCATGCACACATGCACTGGGTTTCGTGGCTTCTTTGGCCCAGCGCCAGGTTCTTTGGGCACGGGCCATAACATTGTTCATGACCCCTCAGGCGATCCAGGTAGCGGCACACAGGGCAAATCAGTGGTCGGCAGCAATCATGTCGCCTTGGCGGTAGTCAGCAACAGCAGTGGTGTCAAATATCAACCTGATGCTGACAGACCCTAAGAGCTAAGCGCGAACTGCCCTTTACCAAAGCAAAGAGGGCTGCGATTCTACTGAAGACGCTCAGGTCACCCAAGCATTGGCCTATGGTAATGCAGACCATTAATTTATGCCGGATGAAGGCAGCTGTCCAGGAGAGCTCAAGCAGACCAACGATGTGCTTCCTGAGCTGAGCTGATGTTTTGTAACACGGCTCTTTGCTCTGTGACTAAGAACAGTGAGGGGGGGGTCTTTGTTTCACACACTTTTATAAGTGTTGCCTTTCACAGCTTTTTAAAGGGTTAACAAAAGGTGGTGTAATGTTTGCCTGACTAGTTGCGAATCCTTGTTTGTATTTTTTCCGCTTTCGTAAAATGCATACGTAAATGCCATAATGAGCTCTTTCTTTCCCACAGGTTACCATCGTTTTTGCGCCTGAATAGTACTCTATGGAGGGTGCTGACTCTGATCTGCTGGTCCCTGGCCAGGCCGTTGTTGCAGAAAACGGACAAGAGGAGCGGACTGCAGCAGGAGCTGGTGTGAGCAGGTCAGTCACTTACGCGTGGCCAGAGAGAGGCAGTAACTTGGTGACACATCGCCAGCCACGAGTGTTCTCCCGACAGCCCCAGGCTGGACAGGAGGGGAGCAGCAGTGCTTTGCAAAATCGCTACAGTTGCTAGAGGCTGGGGCAGGGGCAATGGGGGAGCACTGTTTAATAGTGAGAGCATTTTCTTTAGGGGTTATAAAAATGTTTAAATCAGTAGGTATGTTTTGGTTTGGTTTGGTTTGGTTTGGTTTGGTTTGGTTTGGTACCAGTACTCGAACTCAGGACCTTGCATTTGCCAGAAGGCGCTGGGCCAATGAGCTATAATCCTGGGCCCGGTGGGTATGTTTACAAACAAAAGAACCTCTGTATTTTTCTCCTTGCTAATGAAGGCAGAAACTTTCCAATGGAAATAAGTAGAATTGTAGACAATCGTGTCTCCAAGCCTATCTAATGGCTGTTTCTTGCTTTTCAGTTCTTGCTTGTATCCACCAGCCCTCACCCTTCCCTGCTGATCAGATGCCTTCAGCATGGTTGTATGAGTGCATGTGGGTCCACGGTGCATGAATGTGTGTGCATATGCAGGGTGCGTATCTGCGGCAGGCTCGCTGTGTGCGCACACACACCTTCACGCATGCGCACGGCACCTGTGTGGGCTTCCAGGCTGTCCACCGCCCATCCCACACGGCGCTGAGGCTGCAGCTCTGCCGGCTGTCCTCGCACCGCTCCTGACAGGAAGCCAGGCTTCCTGGGGTCTTAAATCAGCAAAGCAGGAAGGAAATAAAGGCCGCAGAGCTGTTGGAGTGGAAGAAGCCAACTCTAAGGCGGAACCCACGCCTCTCGTTACACGACCACGTAGGGTCTCCCCGCGCGGCACCCTCAGGCCCCGCAGCCGCGGACAGAACTGCATCGCGCTGCTTCCTCGGACCTAAGCGAACCCTCGGCCTCCCTCTGCTGTGGTCTCCTCTGCTGCAGTGCATCCCTCACGTGAGACGGGAATCCTAAAATTGCCCTCCCGCTGGCTGTGCGATTGCAAGTATCTTAAGCCATGGCTCGGGTAGAGCAAGTCTGTAAGTAGCAGGACTTCAAAGGTTTTAGTTTTTGAAATGAGAATTAAGCCAGGCTTGGTGGCTCGTGCCTGTAATCCCAGATACTCTAGTCTGAGGCAAAAGGATCACAAGTTTGAGGCCAGACTCCACAATTTAGCAAGACCTTGCCTCAAGATAAAATAAAAAAGGGCTGGGGATGTAGAACTCCTATCTAGCATGCACAAGGCCCTGAGTTCAATCCCCAATAAGCAAGAAAAAATTTAAAAAGGTCTATTTTATTTTATTTTATTTTATTTTATTGTCTTTTTGAGACAGGGCCTTGCTGTGCAGTTCAGGCTGGCCTTGAGCTCACTATGTAGCCCAGACTGGCCTCAAACTCGCAACGATCCTCCTGCCTCAGCCTCCCGAGTGCTGGGATTACAGGTGTGTGCCACCACTCCTGGCTGGGAGGGTATATTTTAAAATGCCCATTTATTTTCTTCCTGCCTTTCACTTTGTGTGTTCTAACAATAACTCATATCAAACAAGGAAATAAATAGAAATATCTTGGTAGCCAATTTTTGGAATATGTATAAAGAAAACCAAAATTTCTCCTACAGGAAATCAGCATTAGAATCAGATAATATGTCTGAGGAAATATTCACCCTAGGTCCTATTGCAACTAGAAATGGCATTTAGGATTTGCTGTGGTTTGGATACGGTGTGAGTGTGTTGTGTGTGTCCCCCCCCCCCCCCGCCACCCCTGCCCCAGGTTTGTGTGCTGAAAATTTAACCCCACCGTTTGGTATTAAAGAGTATGAAACTTAAACTAGCTATGGTGATTAGAGGTAGGGCCTTAGAGGAGTGATTAGGATTAGTGGAGGCATCAGGTCAGCGCCCCATAACTGAGTCCTAGTGGCTTTATAAAAAGAGAGACCAGAAGACACACAAGACTCCTGTCTCCTGTCACGTGATGCCCTGCAGTGCCTTGGGATCCTGCCAGCAAGAAAGCCTTCACCAGATGCCTGGACCCTCCAGAGCTGCAGCCAGAGGAGCCTCTTTTGTTTACAAAGTTGCCCTCTCTGATTCATGGTAGTCATGCAAAATGAGCAGTGCAGGACCCCAGGCCAGCTCCCGGAGTTCTCGTGGTTGGAAGTTCAGAGTGGGGCCCTTCACTCAGCAGAGACGGTGAGAAGCGCACAGACCCGCAGTGAATCCGCCCGTGTGAACCTCTTCTCTAAAGCTGCTGAGATTGCTAAAAAAAGACACATGACTCAGAGATGGGCGGCTTAGGCTGGGGTCCCCCGTGAGACCTTGCGCTAATTACTTAATTTTTTTGGTCCTTTTCATTCATCAAACTGGGATGTTGATCTAAATAGTCTTTTAAATTTCCTTCGACTCAATGAGCAAGGATTACTCTCTTCTAAGAGGAGAGAAAAACACAAAGAGGGCCAGGATATAGCTCAGCAGCACAGCACCTGCTTGGCAAGCACAAGGTCCTGAGTTCGATTCCCGGTACCAGAAAAAAGAGAAGGATATGAGCAAGAGAGATATGAAGACTCCGCTAGAAAAAAGAAAAGAGCCCCCGAAGTTTGTTTCAGTCATAAGTCAAATTCCACTTTGAGGGAAGAAAATAACCTGTAGGCATTTTCTGTTCTATTTAGCTTAATTTTTGTCTCGGGCAAGTAACCCTTCCGCAGAACGCTTCAAGAAAGCTTCTCACATTTTCTCCCCACAGGCCGTTAAAGACAACAGAGCACACCCTGAAAATGGATTACATTTGCATAAAATCACTGCAAAAACAAGCAACCCCCAAAAAAACCCAAAAGCATTCCCAGATCAAATGATGAGCAATTCCTTGGTGCTGTGTCCGCTGCTATAGGGTTAATCCAGTCTGAAAAAAGTGACAAAGTGCAGAACTTTTTTTTTTAACGGATTCCACACTCATAACCAAGTACTTGGCAAGCTGCCCTCTCCTATGTTGCGAAATAAAAATGTGTGGCCTTGAGTGTGTTCCTAACAGCCGGCGCATTTTGTTTGATCACAGGGCCTGGGACCAGACACACAGACACCAGGACATTCTCCTAGTGCTTTCGCTGCTTTGGTTAAAATCCTGTTTTCCCTCCATCTCACTCGGAAGGACGTTTGGGGACTTAGAAGAGTCATTTCCTGGGAGTCGCTGGAGCCCCATGACCACAACACCCTATCTCAGCCCAAACTGTTGAAAAGGGTTCGGATCAAGATTTACAAAATCTTTTGCAATACTTGCAAAAATGCACCAGTTTTAGATTTTTAAGTCACTGGGACAGCAGGCAAATGTCTACGGTCATGAACTGCTCGAGAGTGGGGTAGCGCAGATTTCTGTAAACAAGCAAACTCCAGTTTTTTCAGCCTTTTGTAGAAGTGGTTCTACCCAAAGACAGAGGTGCTGTCCAACTCTAGGATGCTATCAGAGCAACTTTATTACTTTTTTTTTTTTTACTGTAAATGAATTGCTTTGTGAGCAAACTTTGGAACCTTAACAGACTTATTTCACCCCAACATGTCTTTTTTGCGCCCAAGACTTGAGCAAAAGGTAAATATCCAAGAGTCTTCTCACAAGAAACAAGCCAAGTATGCACTAGATACAGGCAGTTTTTTTTTGTTTGTTTTTGAAGGAGCCTAAAAAAATAAATATTTTTTAAATGGTGCAATCATTGTGGAAATTAGTGTGGAGATTCCTCAAAAAGATAAAACTAGCCGGGTGTGGTGGCGCACACCTGTAATCCTAGCACTTGGGAGGCTGAAGCAGGAGGATTGTTGCGAGTTCAAGACCAGCCTGGGCTACAAAGTGAGCTCAAGGCCAGCCTGAACTGCACAGTGAGACCCTGTCTCAAAAAGACAAAAAAGAAAGATAAAACTAGATGTTCTGTTTGACCCAGATACTCCCCTTCTTGATATCTTCCCCAAAGAACTAAAAGCATCACACAGAGATACATGCACACCCACAGCAGCACAGTTTGTAATAGCTAAGTCTTAGAAACAGCCCAAATGCCCAGCAACTGATGAATGGATAAAGATGTGGGTTGGTTTTTTTTTATACAATAGGATACTACTCTGCCATAAAGAAGGATAAGCTTCAGACATTTCTAGGTAAATGGATGCACCTTGAGACCGTACTCTCACATGAAATAAACCAGACACACATGTTTAAATACCACATGGTTTCTCTCATATGGGAGACCAAAAGTGTACATAAGGACCAGAATGTGTCACAGATACTGGGAAATGGGAAGAAAACGTTCCAATGAGAAGGGGAGCAAGGGAGCGGGGAGCGGGAGGAAAGAAGGGACCAGAACAAAAATAGAAGGAAAAATGGAAATGAGGCTTTTGTAAATACGCAGGGGAAGGATTGAAGGGAGGGGAGAGGATGGGAAAAAGAGAAGCAAGATACATCGTGTAGAGGTGCACATTCCTGTAGTGAATGTGATCATTATGCGTATCTAGAATGTACTAATCAAAGCAAAAAAGTCTATTGACTTGAAAGCCTTATGACCAAACTTCGTAGCAGTCACCAGGCCTCCTCAGAGCCATAATAATAAACCTTCCCATAATGGCCAGCCCCGATGTCCCAGCAGAGAGCCTAGAGCTGTGGGTTGATTTATCCGTAGTTATTAATATTCCCGCCTGCACACAGTTGGAGCTCTTCTTCCCGGGTTTTCAAATGGAATGTGGCTGCCTGGACTGCAATCCCCACACCCCTTGCAGCAGTGAACTGCCCAAGAACAAACAGCTATAACCAGAACTGGTGCGGGTACTCTCTGTAAAGAGGGCGTGGGCACCTTTGTTCTCTCCTGTTCCTCTTGGCTGGATGTGGCTGTTTAGTTTGGGGCTTGAGAATCAGCTTGCGTCATAGCCTGCACGCTGAACCTATCAGAGCTATCAGACCGGGGTGTCCAGGAGGCCTCCCTACCAGCCCTGCTCCAGCGATCCAAAGTCTGCTATTTAAAAAAGAAACTGAACTCCTATCACATACTGTATGAGCCACTACTAAAAAAAAAAAACATATGTAGCCAAACGTACACTCTAACATATGGAATTTGTAAAATCATATTGCACACAAAGAAAATTTGCCTAACCTATGCAAAAGTCATTAGGCCCAACGTGGCCTTGTGGACAGAACCGAGATAAGGGAGGAGGGGCTGGGGATTTAGCTCAGCGGCACAGCGCCTGCCTGGCAAGTGCGAGGTCGTGAGTTCAATTCCTGGTACCGGAAAAAATAAACAAAATAAAACAATATAAGGGAGGGAGTTCTGATGACTCAAAATCCTTTGGGGCTGGGGTATAGCTGGGGGGTGAGCACATGCTTAGGCATGCCCTGGGCCCTGGGTTCAAGCCTCAGTACCACAAAAGAAAACCCTTTCCACAATTTTCTTTTGTAGTGGGAATCGAACTCAGGACCTTGTCCTTGCCAGGCAGGCGCTGTGCCGCTGAGCTGTATCCCCAGGCCTGCTCCCACAGCTTTGCTGTGCTTACCAGACTCTCTCCGGGTCACAGAACTACATCCATGTAGTTTGGGTGTTCGGCGGCAGAGGCTGTGATGATGTTTTGCAACTTTTTTATGGCATAATTGTAGCTTACTAAGAAGTTGTGGACATTGATAATTTCCTACCACTTTGTCTGTAATTCGGTAAGTCCCCCTATTACTATGTTATCCTTCTTTTACTCTTTAAAATAATAAAAAATAATAATAATTAAAAAAAAGAAGTTGTGGAGAACAGTCCAGGGAGTTCCCGCACCACCTTCACCCACATTCCTCACATTTTAACTTGCGCTACACTGGCTGTATCATTCTGTTTTTTGAAATATTTGAGAGTAAGTTTCAGACATGTTCTCTTTCATCCCTACTTTGTATGTTTCCTAGAAATAAGGACTTATATGGCAACACAACTACAGCAAGATTATCAAAATCAGAAAATGAACCTTCAAAGCTGGGCATGGTGACGCACGCCTGTAATCTCAGCACTCGGGAGGCTGAGGCAGGAGGATTGTTGTGAGTTCCAGGCCAGCCTGGGCTACACAGGGAGTTCAAGGCCAGCCTGAACTGCATAGCGAGACCCTGTCTCAAAAAAAGAACCATCATACAATACGATTATGTATAGATGTCTTCAGATTTTGCTAGTTGCTCCCATAATGTCCTTTATAATACGAGAAAATTCTAACTCATGCATTGCATTCTCTTGTCCTGTTTTGCTTTGTTTTCTGCAGTGCTGGAGCCTCATACATGCTAGTCAAGTGCTCTATCAATGAGCTGCACCCCCCAGCCCTACCGTGTGTGTACGTGTGTGTGTGTGTGTGTGTGTATTTAGTCCTCTCCCATTTGAAAAATGTTCTATTTCCCTGCTGTTCGTAGCCTTGACATTTTTGAGAGGGTGGTTACTTTGTAGACTGTCTCTCAGCTTGGGAACACCTGACCCTTTCCCATGCGTGCGTTCAGTATATACACTAGAGCAGGAATACCCAGCATTCTGGGCGTCAGAGCAGGAGGCATCTCATGCCCCCTGGTCCAGTGACAGTCAAGGTGGTGTCTGCAAGCTTTCTCCACCACAAAGTCAGTATTTTTCTCCATAAAATTAACAAGTACCTTGTGGGCTACATTGAGACAATAAATATCCTGCTAATCTTTCAACTTTCGCACACTGATGTTAGTATCTATGGATGATTCTTGTGTGAATCAGGTATTTACTATAATGCTTAGGTAATAGCGATATCACTTGTACGTGTGTGTGTGTGTGTGTGCATGCATGCACAGATGTGTGTGGCACTGAGGAACTGAACGCAGGAAGCACTGAGCTCGGTCCCCAGCCCTTTTTATTATTTTACTTTGAGACGAGGTCTCCCTGAGGTGCCCAGGGTGGCCTCGAACTTCCGATCCTCCTCTTTAAGCCTCAGGAGTACCTCTTTTCTTTTCCAAGGAGGATTAAAGGTAGAATGATGCAAAAGCAAAACCCCAGCATGTTTGTCTCCATTAACATACTTTATCTATTAATATCTCTCTCTCTCTCTCTCTCTCTCTCTCTGTCTCGGTACTGGGGACTGAACACAGGGTCTTCACACTGAGCTACATCCCCAACCCCTCTCTTTTGAGATAGGGTCTTGCTATGCAGTTTAGGCTGGTCTTGAACTCACTATGTAGCCTTGGCTGACAATCCTTCTGCCTCAGCCTCCTGAGTGCTGGGATTACAGTGTGTGCCCTCATGCCTGGCTCCTCAGTCCTTTTTATTTTGAGCTCTGATTATGTCATTAAATTGCCCCAGCTGGGCTTGAGCCGCCCTGCTTTGGCCTCTTACGGTGCCAGGATTATAGGTGCAGGCTGACATGCCTGTTTTAAGAAATCTCATTTTTAAACTGTCTTGGGAGGCCAAGACAAAAAGATCACACATCCAAGGCCAGTCTGAGCTACACAGTGAGACTCCATCTCAAAATAAATAAATACAGCCAAGTGTGGTGGCGCACACCTATAATCCCAGCACTCAGGAGGCTGAGGCGAGAGGATCATTGCGAGTTTGGGACCCGCCTGGGCTACAAAGCAAGCTCAAGGCCAGCCTGAACTGCACAGCAAGACCCTGTAGGCCAGCCTGAACTGCATAGCAAGACCCTGTCTCAAAAAGACTAAATAAATAAATAAATTGATAAAGAAATGCCTTTTTGGACAGAGAGCATGTGTCTGGACCCATCCTAGACCCGTGTTCAACAGCTCGTGAGATAGCGAGTCTGCGGGGAGCACACTCGTTTAACAGGGCAACACGTGTGAACAAACCCTCGGCAGCACAATGCGGACCATGCCTGGGGAGTCAGAACCCGGGTCCCTCTGAGGCAGGGACAGCAGCTTGAGCCCTGTGAGATGACACCTTTCTCTGCCGTGAAACCACTCGCCCACGCTAATTCCTACGGAAGCCGAGTTGCTTCCTGGAGGTGGAACTTGAATTCTATCACTGGTGTGTTTAAGAATGTGGGTGCCCAGACAGGGGCAGATGGTGGGAAAGGGCTACAGAAGACCTGAGAAGGATCTCACTTTCAGGACAGAAGGAATCGGCCTCACGAGGCAGCACCTGGCCTCGGACCTCACGGTGCTAGTGCTCAACTTCGGGAGGTCTCACCTGACCTGCGTCACACACGATCTGCTCCGGGTGTGTTTGGTTTGCTTGTTGTTTTGGGTAGTAGGGTCCTGGGGCTTGAACCCAGGGCCTTGGATATACTAGGCAGGCCCTCTACCGATGTGCAACAGCCCCAGCCCCTGTTGACTTACGGTTATAGTATGTCAGCACTTGATTATTGATTTTTTAAGTTTTTGTAGTTCAAGCCAATACAGGTTTTTGTTTGTTTGTTTGTTTGGCTTTTTTGAGACAAGGTCTCACTATGCAGTTCAGGCTGTCCTGGAATTCACTTCGTAGCCTTGACTGGCCTCTAACTTGCAGCAATCCTCCTGCCTCAGCCTCCTAAGTGCTGGGATTACAGGCGTGCGCCACCAGGCCTGGCCTCCAAATACAGTTTTTTAGGTCTCAAACTAAAACTTATTGGTAGATTCTCGCAAAGGCTCTAGCAGCAGTGTCTGACGTGCCTGGTGAATTTTTAAATTGAAAAAATTTCATTTATAGTATCCTATCTCAGAAATAAATGTTCCTTAGCTAACCAAACTTCTCTTTTTCTTTTTCTCTTTCTTTTTCTTTCTTTCTTTTACTTCCTTTCTTCTTTTGTTTTAGTTTCTTTGAGACAGGGTCTCACTATGTGGTTCAGGCTGGCCTTGAACTCACTATGTAACACAAGCTGGCCTCAAACTGACCCAGATTATCCAGGTCAACATCATGAGTGCTGGCATTACAGGTGTGCACCACCGGGCCTGGCTCAAATTTATTTCTTTAACAAACAAAAATCTTGGGGCTGGGGATTTAGCTCAGCGGCAAAGCGCCTGCCTGGCAAGCGCAAGGTCGTGAGTTCGGTTCCCGGTGCCAGAGAAAAACCAAAAAAAAAAAAAACAAAACAAAAAATCTTTTTAAGATATAATTTACATACCATAAAATTCACACATTTAAAGTACCCAATTCAACGATCTACAGTAATTTGAACAGTTGTGCAACCGTCATTGCTATCCAATTTTAGAATATTTCATCACTTGTGAAAGGAACTTTATGCCCTTTTAAGGTCACTCCCATTTGTGTGCCAGTCCCTGACAAATGCCAATCTACTATTTGTCTTTCTCTCTAGAGCTTCGTGTTTTGTAGACAGTTTGTCTAAATGAAATCATATAATACGTGGTCTTTTGTGACTGGCTTCTTTCTTTACACCTAAGGTGATTTGTTGTTCGGCTTGTTGTGCTGCTAGGGTGGGAACACACGTCTCCGCCCACACACGTACTAAGCACACGCTGCACCCCTGAGCTGCACCCCCCAGCCCACGCCTCGAGTTTCTGAGGACCACCCACGCTGCGGCAGAGAGCACTCCCTGGATCTGCCCTGTGAGTAGAACGCCATTGTACAGATGGACCACCGTGGACGCGCTCACTTCTTCGCTGATGGCCGGTTGGATGTTATCACTTTTTGGCTATTGTAATTCGATTCATGCTGTGCTGAACACTCTGTGCGTGTCTTTGTGTGGCCGTACAGTTACACTTCTCTGGGAAGGCAGTCACAGGGTCACGTGGGAACTCTGTGTTTCCCGTTTGGAGAAACTGCCAAACTGTTTCCACAGCGATGGCAAGGTTTTACATTCCCAGCAGCAGGGAAAGAGGGTTCTACGTTCTCTCTGTCCTCACCGGTACTTGTTATTAGCTGTCTTTCTTGGTTATAGTCATCCTCTGAGGTGTGAAGTGGTATCTCACTGTGGCTTGTCTTCCTTTGGAGGGCGATTGAATCCAGGGCTTTGCATATGCCACTAAGCCACGCCTCCAACCTTTAAAAAAATTTATTATTTACTTACTTGCAGTACTGGGGATGGATTGATGTGCAGTACTGGGGATTTAGCTTTTATTTTGAGATAAGGTCTTGTTAAATTGCCTCAGACTTGCAATTCTCCTGCCTCAGCCTTCTGAGTAGCTGGGATTACAGGCGTGCATTCCCACACCCGGCTGCTTTGGATCTAGTATAGTCAAGCCCAAGCGTTTACCTATTGAAACTTTAGATTTTATTTCTATCATTTCCTTATAAATTATTTTCCATTTATGTCTCATTTATCTGAGGGCATCCTATTGGGGGAGCTGCTTTTTTATTTTGAATTGTGACAGAGGAGGGTTATTTTATGTATAATTTTTATTTCAGGAAAATGGAGCAGACATTACAAAGTGTTGGGTTGAAAGGAGGGTAAGTGTGATCTGAACGGAAACGGCTGAGCTGCTCTGCCCTGCTCTCTGTGGCTCCGTGAGAAATTGCTGCTTACACACTCATCAGGAGCCGAGCGTGGCGGCGCACGCCTGGAATCCCAGCACTCGGGAGGCTGAGGCAGGAGGATCACTGTGAGTTCAAGACCAGCCTGGGCTACAAAGTGAGCTCAAAGCCAGCCTGAACTGCAGAGCGAGACCCTGTCTCAAAAAGATTAAAAAAAAGAAAGAGAGTTCAGCAGACAAACAAACAAGCGGCATCCAGAGCAGGCACAGGACGCTTCCACCCAGGCCCCTCACCTCCGTGGTGGCCGCAGGAGCGCAGGTGGGTGAGCACCCAGCCGGGCAAGGCTGCCTCCCTGTAATCCCGGCTCCAAGGCCGGCTAGGGCCCGCCCCAAGGGACAGTGGCTGCCCTCCCCCTTCTCTGTGACGGACGTCGTGGCTTCCCAGGGCCACAGCAGGTCCTGGTTTCCCCGGGGCCCTTGGCGATGACTTTTGTCACCCCGCTCCGATCAAGCTCTTGCAGAGCTTCGCCTCTGAGGGTCTTTCTGCACGCCGCTGCCCGCCCTTCCAGCCCGGCTGTGGGCGCCCCCTCGGGCGCTGCTTGGCTTCGCGTTGAACCCAGGACGTCGGTCCTTGCAGAGGCTGCCAGGTGAACCCAAGACCCCCCCCCGGCTTCTCGCGCCTCCCTCAGCCTCCACCCACACGCCCCAAACACCCTGTTGTTACATGGAAAATGTAAATCCATCAGAGTTCTGAGTAGGACCCCATTTTTATTCTTTTAGCAATTCAGGAGCTACCCAGAGTGTTCTGTGACAGCCTGGAAAGAGAACTCTCCTCTTGCGAATCTCTCCCCCACCTCTCTCTCCAGGCAGCCCTGTGGCCTGGCCCTCCCGTCCTGTCCGGTCCTGTCCGGTCGGGGCCCTTCCTTCCTTCCTCCCCCACCCCTCCCCTACAGAAACGGTCAATCCCCCGTTCTCATAACTCTCCCTCTCTGGGTCTTGCAAATTTCACAAGCCTCTGATGTCAGAGGGTGTTGATGGCTTTTCCCTGCAACCTCTGCAGATGACTCCAGAAGCTTGGCACTTCCTGGCTCTCCCAGGACGGGAGAATGAGCTCTGGTTTCAAAGCCGGGAAGATGGGGGTGGGGTCCGCGCCTCAGCTTGTTCCCTAGTACATTCAAAGCTGAATATACCTGGCCTTGGTCAGTGTGCTTCCAAAACCCTCTTCTGTCTGCACTCCATGGAGATTTGTATTCTTTTCTCCCCACCTTTGGTTTTGTTTTTTTTTTTTCCAGTACCGGGAATCGAACTCACAACCTCATGCTTGCAATTCCCCTGAGTGCCAGGCTTCTGGGACGGTGCTAGGGTAACTTGGCTCCTGTCCTTACTGGAAGGGCTCTGCGTGCCCACTGCAGCACATGTAGCATAGGTTTGCCACCCTGCCCTGCAACATGAAAGGACTGCAGTACTGTGAAAGAACAGGGTCGTTGCCCCAGCCCAAAGGCAACTGTCCTTTTGTACCTCCCCCTCCGCAGGCTGAGGTCAGGTCTAGGATGTCCCATCCAGCACCCGTTCTGTTGTCCTGGGAAGGGGTGGAGCTAGTGCTCGGACTGGCTCTGGGGCGGGTGGCTGTGTCCTGGAGCTTCGTAATGCAGGGTGACCCCGAGGCCCCACACTGTGCCACGCCCTAACCTCCTGTCTCAAAGGCACAGTTCCCCTGCCCAAAGCCGTGCAGAAGAGCGCTCTGCTTGGACTCACGGGGAGGCCCTGGGTTTGATCCCCGCACACAAACACACACACCCCGGTTCTTCAAAGCCGTGGATTGTTTTCATTCAGTGATTCTTTCAGTTTATGATGATCGATCGATTCTGTTTTTGTGTAAGATGTCAAACTGTAGTGTTTCACAATATCTGTTACACATGTTGGTTCTTCTTTACACGTTCAGGTTTTCACACCAGAGAACTGCGCAGGGTTCAGATGAAGACGCGGCACCAGATGCCCTTTGGAAGGCACACGGCTTTAGTACACTAGCAGACTGGGCACACGAGGTCCAGATCACCAGCCTCGTTTTGAGGCTCCTGATCACTTCTATAGGTTTGCAGAAGGAAGTACACAAGGCAGATAACGAACACTCTACAGTTGGTTACACGTGCCTTTGTCATTAATTGCTAGGCAGAATTTACTCTTACAGAAACTAAGAAGGTTACTGTCGTATAACATGGGGAAAGAATCATCAGTCACTGAGACCGGGCAGAGGTGTCCTTGAGGCGGTAACGCCCTGGAACTTGACAGTAAGCAGAACGCTGCTGTCCGTCTAAACTGCGGCCATCTCGCGGCTGGCTCCGGGAGCGCCATGGCTCGTGAAGTTCCGCAGCTCTCTAATTATGAGGACCAGCTGTGCTTCCCAGTCTTATCCTTGAGTGTTAGACATATACTAGTGTTAGAAATATAGGACTAAGATTTTCATTACATTTAAAATAGCCCCTACACAACCCATGCAGTATTTCCACATGTGTCCCCATTTATTTCACTTAAGGAGTATGGCCTCAAGGTGCGTGCATCTACCTATATATAAATGTCTCAAGCTTACCATTCTTTATGGCAGAGTAGTACTCCATTATATAAAGAAATCACATCTTCTTTATCCGTTCATCAGTTTATGGACTTGGGGGCTGTTTCCAAGGTTGGCTGTCACAAACCGCCGCTATAAACAGGGGTGTGCGTGTGTCACTGTGGTGTGATGCTTTTAGTTCTTTCAAGAAGTTACCAAAAAGGATAGCTGGGTCAAATGGAACCTCCAGTCCTAGTTCTTTGGGGAATCTCCACACTGATCTCCACAGTGGCTGCACCAGTCTACACTCCTACCAGCAGTGGAGAAGAGTTTCTTTTTCCCACAGCCCTGCCAGCCTTTGTTATTGGTTGCTTTCTTTTTGTTGTTGTTTTTGTTTTTGTTTTTCTTCTGGTACCAGGAATCGAACTCACAACCTTGCACTTGCCAGGCAGGCACTTTGCCGCTGAGCTAAATCCCCAGCCCTGTTGGTTGCTTTCTTGATGACAGCCATTCTTTCTGGGGTGAGATGGAACCTCAGTGGTATTTTAATTTGCATTTCTCGAATGACCGATGATGTTGAACATTTTTTCATGTATTTATTTGCCATTTCTTCAAGTAGTAGTGTTTAGCCCTCTCCTTACAGTTAAAAGTCAATCAAGGGCCGGGGATACCGCTCAGTGGCATAAGCGCCACCTGACAATCACAAGGTCCTGAGTTTGATTCCCAGTACCAAAAAATAGAAAAGTTAATGAACATTCACTGAATCTTTTTCATTGTCTTCTCCTTCACCTTCCTCCTCCTCCGTCGTAGGGGACGGGGAAGGTGTGTGGGGTGCTGGGACTGAACTCAGGAAGCTCTGCGTGCCGTACCTGCTCAGGTACTGATCTCGTGGGAGAGAGGGAGGGAGAGAGAGAGCTCAAATCACTGAACAGAACGGAGGGGCCAGCCTGGCCCCTCTCCAGCGTGCTTGCTCCCCGTCTGCTCCGCTGGACTCCTTCCCTATTTCTCTTAGGCTTCTTTGTGAGGGGCCGGTCTGATCCCTTTCTGCTCCTCAGGCTAAGAAGTCTCTTACCATTTTTCCCTGGCTTCCTACTTAAAGCTTTTCCTGCTTTTTGTTTTTTAAAGACCTTTGGAGAGAAACGACAGTGCAAAAGGCAAACAGTACAGGCCCAGGGATGAGGGTTAGCTCAGTGATAGAGCACTTGCCTAGTGAGCGCAAGGCCCTGGGTTCAGACCTCTGCACCCAAAAATTAAAAAAAAAAAGTGTGCTCCCTGGGGCTTGAGATTGTCTGCTCTGTTTACATCTGATAATACAGGAGGCTGTTGGGTGTGAGGGTAGGAGGTGTATTGGAAACCTCTGCGCTTTCCTCTGTTTTGCTGCAAGCCCAAAACCGCTCTAAAGAGAAAGTAAGCCCGGCACTCAGGAAGTTGAGAAATCTAGCCGGGTGTGGTGGCACACGCCTGTAGTCTCAGCACTCGAGAGGCTGAGGCAGGAGGATCGTTGAGAGTTCAAGACTAGCCTGGGCTACAAAGTGAGCTCAAGGCCAGCCTGAACTGCATAGCAAGACCCTGTCTCAAAAAGACGACAAAAAAGAAAAAAGAAAGAAAGGAAGTAGAGAAAGAGGAGGATCACAGGTTTGAGGCCAGCCTGGGCTGCAGAGTGAGCTCAAGGCCAGTTTGGGTGATACGTTGAGACCCTGTTGCAAAATCGAAACCAAAGTATAATAATAATAAAATAAATAAAAACAAAAACAAGGCACGGTACTCATGCATTAATTATAAAATGCCTTGGGTAGCTGAGGGTTGTGGCACAGGCCTGTAATTCCAGCACTCTGGGAAGCTGAGGTAGGAGGATCACAAGTTCGAGTCCAGCCTGGCCAATTTAGAGAGACCCTGTCTTAAAAACAGAACATGGGCCAGGAATGTAACTCAGTGCAAAGGCCCTGGGCTCAATCCCTAATACAGAAAAAACAGACAAACGGAAAAACCTTGGCCCTGAGAGTGTACTTTATTGGTACCTCATGTGCTTACTGTGGGCAAAGCCCCAAGTTTGATCCTCAGCACAAAAAAGAAAAAATAAGGAGCCATCTACATTTCCCAAGCCCAGTATATGCCCCCTTTGTTGAAGACTGTCTAGTAAGATAACCTTTTCATGAAAAGCTTGGTGAAGAAATTTTTTTTTTTTTTTAAGAAAAATTTTTAAATCACCAAAAAAAAAAAAAAAATCCCAAATGTTTAACTTGCTGAGTTTATAAAATTTAAGGAATTATAGATAGTGGATTCCAAATTGATACTGAGTTTCCATCCAAGAAAGTATCTGCACGGCCTTGCTGTTGACTGGACTCTGTCCAAAAGTACCTGGGACCTGGGTCAGCACAGGACGCAAAGATAACAATGTCCCAAGCTAGAGCAAATGCTCGCAGAATTTACCACAACGTTCCCACGCTCCGGCCCCAGGCCGCGCCTCCTTCCCAGAGCCTGAAAATGCACAGCCAGGCCTGACAGCTGGAGCCGGTGTGGGCTGAGCTGAGACCGCAGGGCAGATTTTGTTTTACTTTGTTTTTTTTTTTTGAGACAGGGTCTC